GCCTTCTGAATCCTCCTGACCTAACCCCGGGTGCCGTTGAAAGTTTTCTCACTGTCTGGTGTGATAAGATGCTTGGGCCCAACTTCTCTGCCCCGGCCCTGGAATCAGCATTTCTCCCAGAGTACGAGCTGGGTACTGTGGCTCCCTCCTATATTCTTGTGCTTTAACCAGCTCTCTACACCCGAGGGAACTATTCGCCATGCTCCCAGGAAAAATCAGTGGCCAAACTTAAGGTTACGCTCCATTCTACTTTAAGAGAACTCTTCAAATTTCGGGTCGGCCTTTGGAAGATGTATAGACGACTAATCTGTGTTTGTTCGTAAGAAACAGATTCTGAGCAAACCTGTACTTGGAATCTGCTCCATCCCAATATCTTACTATAATCAAATACTCTTCCAGGTTGAGGGCCAGCCCCAAGCATCTAAATATATCTCCTGCTCTTGGGAAATACAAACTGAAGGTTAAAGTAAGAGAGCAGTTTAGCCTGCCAAGAAAATTTGGAAAGCTAAATATAAGTTAAAAAAATAAATAAATGAAGACAACTACTTGAAACTGCCTTACCCATAAAGAATCCAACCTAGATTTCTTGGGGCAGAAGTGAGATAACAAATACTGGGTTTAAATTTACCTGGAGTTTGTCCTTGGCCCTGGTCCCTCCCCCCGTCCTTGGCCCTGTCCAGAAGGTAGAGGGTGTGGAAATAAAAAAATAACATTCCTCTGTGTCACGTTGATTATGCAACACTAAAGCCATTTCAGAAGATTCTCATGCAATTTGAGTAGATACCCAAATGCTCAGGGGCCCCTGCCCTCGGGGGCGAACTCGGCTGTGAGAAGAGATCCAGAGCTGTCTTACCCCAAGGCCCGTGTGACCTCAGGCTCAGGCCCCTCCAGTACGGCATCACCTCACACTGCGGTGAGAATTTAGCGCTGACCTGTAAATAGTGTGCATTCGGCAATGTCTGCCCAGGGCAGCCTCTGAAGGTAAGAGGAGGGCAGGGGCGGACCCCTTTGCAGGCACTGACGGGCACAGTGGCCCTGAGGCACCCTGGCACACCCCCCCAGGTCTAGCAGAGGTGAACTGGCAATAATCAGGGGCAGGAATCAAGTGGCAGCTCTCTGGTCTCAGAAAGCACAAGGGAGGGGCACCTGGGTGGCTCAGTCATTGGGCGTCTGCCTTCAGCTCAGGTCATGATACCGGGGTCCTGGGATCGAGCCCTGCATCGCGCTCCCTGCTCAGCAGGAAGCCTGCGTCTCCCTCTCCCACTCCCCCTGCTTGTGTTCCCTCTCTCACTGTGTCTCTCTCTGTCAAATAAATAAATAAAATCTTAAAAAAAAAAAAAAAGGACGTGCAAGGAGTTAGACTTGCCGTAGGGACTAAATGAGGCCATCTGAGCGAAGGCATTTTAGCACCTAGTGAATGTGAGGTGGTGGTAGTGTCCTCACTGATTCACTCTAAAGAATGTTCTTTGGGGCGCCTGGGTGGCTCAGTTGGTTAAGCGACTGCCTTCGGCTCAGGTCATGATCCTGGAGTCCCTGGATCGAGTCCCGCCATCGGGCTCCCTGCTCGGCAGGGAGTCTGCTTCTCCCTCTGACCGTCCCCCCTCTCATGTGCTCTCTCTCACTCTCTCTCTCTCAAATAAATAAATAAAAATCTTTAAAAAAAAAAAAAAAAGAAAAAAGAATGTTCTTTGACTCCATCCCCACCCACTTTGTTTTAGGCCCTGTGCTAGGCACAGGGAATATAGCAGTGAATGGCACAGAGCATTCTCTGCCCTCAGAGGTCTAATGTGAGTCTAAAATTTTACACGTTCTGGTGCAGCCCCTAAATCCCAAATACCATTCCCACTAAGAGCTAGCATTGTTTGGGTGTTGACAGGGCGCCAGCATTTTTATGCATGTCCCAGGTGTTGGTAGGGAGGATGCTTGGCAGGTGCCCGAAAGCACCAGCAGCCCCTGTCACTGAGCTCGACATGCAAGAGCCCAGTTCTGAGGGGACGGTGGCTTCTGTCCCTCAACAACCTCTCTTCAGGACAAGCTGGCCAACTCACCAGCAGTCCCAGGCCCAACCTAAGATTTCCGAAATTTATGTGCACACTGATTATTCAGGTCTGGGGAAATGTGGGGGCGCCTGGGTGGTTAAGCATCCGCTCTTAATTTCAGCTCAAGTGATGATCTCAGGGTCGTGAGATTGAGTCCCGTATCAGGTTCCGCACTGGTGTGGAGCCTGCTTAAGATTCTCTCCCTCTCTCTCTGTCCCTGCCCCCTGGCCCCAACTCATGCTCTCTCTCTCTCTTGCTCTAAAAAAATAAAAAATAAAAAAGATCTGGGGAAATGTGCCCCCAGAGCTGGTGCTTTAAGTGAAGGCCAAGCTTCTGGAGGTGTTGTCCAGCCCAGTAAGAGCTTTGTGGTCACCCTCTTAGTCTATTTTGGCTCCTCACCTCCTGTTCCTTTTTTCTTCTTTTTTTTTTTTTTTAAAGATTTTATTTATTTATTTGAGAGAGAGAGCACATGAGAGGGGGGAGAGTCAGAGGGAGAAGCAGACTCCCCGCCAAGCAGGGAGCCCGATGCGGGACTTGATCCTGGGACTCCAGGATCATGACCTGAGCCGAAGGCAGCCGCCCAACTGACTGAGCCACCCAGGCGCCCCCTTTTTTCTTCTTAAGAGCCTATGAAGTCTCTATAAATTCAAACGTGCTTTTCCTCTCCAGAACAACAGCAGTGGAAGCCTCACAGGCAATACCTATGTCTACGTGTTGTTTATTTGTAAGATGAGAACTGCTAGTCCCATAAAGCCAGGGATATGTTATGAAAATCAGAACTGAACGTTGCATATCTTTCAGCTGAGCTAGACAGAAGTTATGTGGACTTGCTTAGGCCAGAAGTTCTCTAACAGCATCATTCAGAAATGAGCTACCTCCACAGTCATTCAAAACTGCAGAAGCAAGCACCAAGACTGAGAAAATGGAATGATCAGATATTGAATATGAAATTAATACGAAGCAAAATTAATACAAAGACACCCACACTTCAACACATTGTATAACTATTGCACAAACTGCAGAACACCAAAGGCAGAGAGAAGACTCCCAAAGCAGCCAGATACCAAAGGCAGATTCCTCCAGAAGAGCTGCTGTGCAACGAAGAGCTGCCCTCTCAGCAGCAAAAATGGCAGCTGGAATATAATGGGATAATATAGAAAGTTGTAGAACACAGTGGGAAAATATCTTAGAAGTGCTGAGAGGAAACAATTGTCAGGGGAAAAATAACGTTTTCTGACAAATCAAACTAAATACTACCAACCGACCTTTCCTAAAGAAATTACTAATGATTGTACCGCAGGAAGAAAGAAAGTGATCCCAGAAGGAGTATCTGAGATGCAAGAATATCTTCATGACTCAAGGTAGGGAAAGATTTCTTAAACTCCATCAAAAAAGCGCAGTCTGGAAGGGAAAAGATGAACGTATTCAATTACATTAAAATTAAGAACTCATTTCATCAAAAGGCATCATAAAACGTGTGAGACACATCCTGGAAGAATATACTTGCAATAATTATAACAGTCAATGAGATCCACACTATTAGAAAGAATTACTCTGGGGGGACGCCTGGGTGGCTCAGTTGGTTAGGCGATTGCCTTCGGCTCAGGTCATGATCCTGGAGTCCCGGGATCGAGTCCCACATCAGGCTTCCTGCTCAGCGGGGAGTCTGCTTCTCCTTCTGACCCTCCCCCCTCTCATGCTCTCTGTCTCTATCTCATTCTCTCTCTCAAATAAATAAATAAAATCTTTTTAAAAAAATTTTTTAATAAAAATAAAAGAAAGAATTACTCTGAATCAATAAGCAAAAGGCAAACCCACAAGAAATTTGTAACAAATAAAACAATTTAAAATTTTACAGAAGATGAAAGACATAAAAGTAAGCTCAATCTTATCTGTAATCATAAAAAATTAAAATCTGATGAGATACATAGAAAATCCCAAGGAGCATACCAAACGACAACTAAAACCAAAACCAAAACCAAAACCCCTTAAGTGAGTTTAGCAAGTTGCCGGATACAACGTTAACATACAAAACAATCGATCATGTTTCTGTCTATTGGCACTGAAAAACTGGGAAATGAAATTTGTAAAAAGCAATACTATTTACAATAGCTCCCCAAAATAAAATACTTAGGGATACATACAGGAAGTGTGTATAGTATCTGTATGCTAAAAAGAACAAAATATTGATAAAAGAAACCAAAGAACATCTCAATTATTGGGAGAAGCATACCATGTTCATACCATAGTAAAGATGTCAGTTCTCCCCCAAGCTGATCTATAGATTTAACACAAAATCCTAACAGATGGATATTGTAGATATTTGCAGTCTGCTTCTCAAATTTGTGTGGAAGTGACAGAACTAGGGAAGGGGAGGAGCCATCTCCTGAGACGGGCAGAAGTGTGAGCCACCTGCATGGACAACTTTTTTTTTTATTTTAGGCCATATTTTATTTAGCTTGATTTATTATTTGTCACAAGAATAGCTTTCCCTGAAAGTCCTGGAGGGAAATCTACCTTGTAAAGGTGCAACGAGACATTATCTGAGAAAGACTCTTTGTAACAGAGACTGTCATCCCCTAAAGCAAAGAGACATGGACTAGCTTCTCTTTTGGCCACATTTAAGGTGATAAATTGAGAAGTGAGATTAGATTTCCCTTAAAGTCAGCATCGCATAGATTACGTCTTCAAGGAAGCGGCGGTTAATTCCAGACCAAATCACCAAGTAGATTTGTTTCTTTTGAGGGGCTACCATTTGGGTGGTTCAAGTTCCTTGGAGATAACTGTCCTCCGTGACTCCACTACAAATCCCTCCATGTCTCCCTTCTGTCAGTGCCAGTTCTGGGCTTCATTCTCTTTTGCATCTAGAAGTTTTTGTTGATGGAAGTTAGTTTCCAGTTTTTGGCTACTGTGAATAAAGCCCCATATAAGTCTTTGTGTAAACGTATGTTTTCATTTCAGCTGAATGTCTACCCAGGAGTGGAATATTAGATTACCAGTTTATCCTGAAAAGAAAGAACTAACTCAAGAACAGCCAGATGGAAGAGATGCACAGGGCCAGGTAGAGGAAAGGACATCCAGCTTCCATGCCCTCTCTCCACATCTCCACAGGTTCACCAACAGGGAAGCTCTCCCGACAACTCTTTTGATTACCATAACTTTACAGAAAGTTTTAAAATCTGGTAGTGTGATTCCTCCACACCAAGGATGGCTCCCTCTCCCCATGACACCAAATCTCCAGTTGTCTCATAGTCTAACACATTCTTTTTTTTTTTCAAAATTATTTTATTGCTTTATAAAAGAACAAATTACCCACTAGGCAGTGTAAGAAATAGAACATTACCACTATCTTTGAAGGTCTCAGTATACTCATTCCCAATCCCATCACTCTCTCCCTCAGAAGGGTCATTCTCAGAAGGTGCTGAGGAGAATAGGTTCTGAGGGAATTGGGGAGTGGCAGTGAGTTCAGATTTTGTATCTGTTGGATTTAAGGAGCTTGAGGGACAAAGCCAGGACTGGGGTGGCGCAAATGAGGTGCTCAGGGTGCAAAATTTAATAAGGCATTCACTCCCGAGGTCCTGCAAGTGCAGGGTTGGCCCCTGCAGGGGAACATCCGAATAGAGACATCCATGTGGGCAAGTGGATGTGTGGGACTGAAGGCCTGGGATCGCCAGCCTATAGGGTGCTTAGAAGCACAGATTTAACAGGAATGAGGAGAGAGAGAACCAAGGAGGCTCACAAGGACATCCTAAGGAGAACCCAGGAAGGAGAGGAGCCTAGCTAGTCTGAGACAAACCAACAACAACACAACCACTTGGTGCTCATGTTGACCCTCTCCCTCAGGCCTCTAACTAAACATGCTTTCTGGTGGACATTTAGTTCTTTCCCTGGGCTGACCAGCATGGGTAAGCAAACAAATGCAGAGCCCAGAGAGGACGAGGAGAAGGTTCGGTTTCTCCACCAAGGGGATAATAAAAGGCAGGACAGGGCTGAGAGGTGATTAAACTGGAATGGTATTGCCCAACTGGTACCTGACCACAGGGTGTCAAATACTATAACCCAGGGGCCCAAACCAAATGCCCACAGGGCCAGGCAGGCACTGTGAGTGGGTAAAGGGAGCCAGGGAAAGGAAATAATATTCCACAGTGAAAGTGAACAACAGAAAACATGCCACACAGTGGTGTGGGGTTGGGGGTAAAAGGGAGGTGGTCCACTGAGGACCCGATGTCCTTTTTAAAGAAACAGTCACAGCTCATTTCAGCCTACTCTGGCTTGGCAATGTGTTCACTGTGGCTAGAACTATGGATTTCTCAAGAAATGTCTTAAATCTGAATTTTTCATGTGAAATATCCTGTTTTAAATGTTGGCAACTTATTCAGAAATGTTTTTAAAAACTGTTTATGCTAACATCGTTTGGGCCAAGAAGACACAATCCACAGGCCAAATTACCCAAGTCCTTCCATCAGCGAGCTCTGTGTTAACCACCTGAATTTTCTAAAAAAAAATCTACTCTTCCCCCAGGGCCAGCCTTCCTTCCCCTCTTGATTCCCACCTAACTTCACCTGAAGAGCTTTTATCCAGACAGAAGAGAAGACAGACGCCCTGTGAAGCGAAGTATGCCCTACACAAGGCTCTTCTTTTATGGTTTCTCCCTACAGATATTTGGGTGCTGGGTGTGGATCCTGGTAGCTGCCACCCAGGTAGCAAACCCGTTGCTGCAAGGATGGGTGATGTATGTCTCGCTCACCTCGTTTCTCATCTCCCTGATGTTCCTATTGTCCTACCTGTTTGGATTGTACAAAAGATACGAGTCCTGGAGAGTCCTGGTAAGAACCAGAGGGAGTGACCCAGGCCCTTGGGCTCCCCCTGATGTTCGTCCTGGGTATTGTGAGGACAAGGGGCCTTCTGGGCGGGGAGGGAGAACCAGAGACCAGGGACCAGAGGCCTTGTCAGGGCTGGGCCACTACAGAACCAAGACTTTTTATCTTAATGTGTTTACTAGTAAGCCAGAAGGAAAGCACTCCTGTGCCACAGTGATTCTTCTATTCCTCGCAATTTTTATGTAAAGTGTATATATAATCACGCTGAACCAATAATTTTGGATATCAATTCTTTCATTAACATTATGTCATTAAATTGTTTTCATGTCGGGCGCCTGAGTGGCTCAGTTGGTTAAGCAACTGCCTTCGGCTCGGGTCATGATCCTGGAGTCCCGGGATCGAGTCCCGCATCGGGCTCCCTGCTCAGCGGGGAGTCTGCTTCTCCTTCTCCCGCTCCCCCCTCTTGTGCTCTCTCTCTCTCTCAAATAAATAGATAAAATCTTAAAAAAAAAAAATTGTTTTCATGTCACATCATCTTGATAACCATTTAAAATGTTTCTGTACTGAACAATTAAGAACATATACAAAAGCAGGGAACATCAGATTATGGACCCTCAAGTAACCAAAACTGAGATTCCTGTACTATTAACATTTTACCACACTTGCTGCAGCCATTTTTTCCTAAAGAATTTTAAAGCAACCCCAAAACATCATATCATTCCATTCTACACACTTCAGTATGCCTCCAAAAAAATACGCACTCTTTCTTACATCATCATGCTTATAGAAAGTTATTAACAATCATTCCTCGGTATCATCTAAGACCCAGGCCATATTCAGATTTACCCGGTTACACCTGAAATGTCTTTTTACCATTGGCCTGTTTGATGGGGATCTTCACAGGGGCCACGCGTTGCCCTTGGTAGTTATGGTTCTTGGGTACCTTCACCCTAGAATGGCTCTTCTTGCCAGTGACTGGTTGAAGAAGGCAGGTCAGCTGTCCTACAGAAGGTCCGACGTTTGGGGTCTGTCTGTTTGCTTCTTCCTGGTGTGATGTGACTGGCTCCTCCAAGTCCCTGAATTGAAGATGGGTGAACCTTTCTGGCAACAGCGTTTCATTAAGTGGTTTCTGGTCACATCACACATGGTGACTGGTGGCCCCTCTTCCAGCATGACAGGCTTACCCCCATCAACTGTTTCCCTAATCCTTTTTTTCATCCCCTAATGAGTTTTCCCTGAACTGAATATCTCATCAGGGGTTGCAAAATGCCAGTGATGACATTCCTTCCAGAATTGATAACCCTTTTTAATGACTGACATTCTCGAGTTGAAGAAAGCACACTGCTGAGCATTCAGCACAGAGGCTCAAGCACTGGAGTCTAGAGTCCGATAAGCCTGGGTCTGCCAACTCCACCACCTGTTAGCTTAGGCCCAGTCCCATCGCCTGCACATCGGGGGTGCTAACAACAGCCGCAGCCTCATGAGATTAGCTGTGGGGATGAAATGAGGCAGCGCGCATATACCGCAGGGCAGTGGCCGGCGCTTAGCAGGTCTTCATAACGCTAATGGCTAAGGGCACAGGCTCGGAGTTGATCTGGCCTGCCTCCAAATCCTGACTTGGCTATCTATTCACTGACCTTAACCTTGAGCTTCTATCTCCTCAAAAGGGCACTAACGTTAAGTAGTGCCGACCCCATAGTTGACGAGGTTACATGAGGTGCGTGAGAAAGGCTTGGCACGAGTGAGCACTCAGCCAAATGCCGGCTCGTATCGATATCACTGTTGGCATTTATTAATCCACTGTTGTTCACTGCATCGATAGTTCACCAGAAACACTGCAGAAGGAAAAAGCAGGAGGCCGGGAGCAGGCTGGCCTCTTTGGGCCACCCCTCCCGGCTGCGCAGGCCGCGGGGAAGGTGTTCACCTGCTTACGTGGCCGCATGACGCCGCCGTGGCCTCCCTCTGCCTTTCCAGGACAGTCTGTACCACGGCACCACGGGCATCCTGTACATGAGTGCGGCCGTCCTGCAGGCACACGCCACCATCGTTTCTGAGACGCAGGACCTGAAGAACTACTACATCAACACGGCAGCCTCGGTGAGCGCCGGACAGCACACGGAGCCGCGGGGTGGGGGGCACATCGTGGGGGCTCCCTTCTGTCTCCTGCGGACAGCGGACCCCGAGCTTCAGGCTGGTGGGGCCTTGGGGGACAGGAGGAGGTGTGTGTGCGTGTGTCTGTGTCTGTCTGTGTGTCTGTGTGTGTGTGTGTGTGTATCTGGGTCTGTGTGTGTGCACATGCACGTGTAAATAGCCGTGTGCAAGCTCAACGGGTACCAAGCCCAGGTTCAGGTGTTGTCTCTCATTTTCTGCTTTTCCCACCTCAGCCTTGCTCACTCATACGCCCACTCTACCGCCCTCAGAACTTCTCTTTTCTAAAACACAAACTGGAGCGCATCTTTCTCCCCTGTTGAAAATTCTTCCATGGCCCCCACTGCTTGTGGAATGGAACCCGAATTCCTCAGCATGGCCGAACTGTGCCAGGGTCCTTTCGTGTCAGTGACGGCAGTGCAAAGGGCTAACTGTGGGCTGATGGAATCCAGGGCCAGGTGGTCCAGCCAGTTGTAGGGAGAGCAGGACCCCCAAGACCTTAGGTCCACTAGGACCAGAGACTCAGCCAGTGCCTGCCTTCCTGGCAGCCTCTCTTCTCCCGTGGGGGAATGGCGCCCTCACGTGGCAGCTCGCTCACAGCCAGCAGCTTCCTCCTCTATAGTGGCCTAACCTTCCTTCTTCGGCCTTTGCACACTTCTCAGAAAGGATCTAACATGCACGCTGGGTGTAAGCCCAACAGCGACCAGTCACTGGGACCAGAAAGGTCACGTCCTGTGTCAATGTGGGGGCTCCTGCAAGGATCAGGTGGCAGGAGGAGGGGGTGTGGCGTGGGGAGCCATTCTCCACTGTAAGAATGGGGCGCCAGGCAGCCACTAGGGTGGCCTTTCCAGCCTGTCTGCCTCCTTTCCCTCCTCCTCAAACTATCCTAACTCCCCTAAACTCCTGACTCCAGGAGGCCCACACGCGGCCGCCCTTCCACGGTCTGGCCTGGTGCTCTCTGGCCTCTCTCCTCCTACCCCATCCCCTGCCCCCACCCCCAGCTTCTCCAGCCTCGCCGGCCTCCTCCAGGCTTCCTCCAGCCGCGCCTGAACACTCGACACATGCTCACACCTCTCCCTGGCAGGGACAGCCCTGCCCCAGGAGGCAAAGCCCCGGCCTCCTTCTCGGGGAGGCTTGCCCTTCGCCCTCCCCAGCAGGCCCATGTTCTCTCTGGCGCCTTTTCTCCTGGGCGCTTGTCCCCAGCGAACCTGAGCCTCCACTGGTTTATCTTGCTTACTTTCTGCTTCTGCCGCTAGGATGTAAGCACCGTGAGGATAGGGATTTTTGAATGTTTTGTTTGCTGTTATGGCTACTGTCATTTTTGAAGTATAGCAGGTGCTTGGAAGATATTTGTTGAATGAGCGAATGAACGAACGAATGAATGAGAACAGGGTGTGAGTGGACAGTGGGACAAAGTGAGGCTGGAATGGTCCTCCAGGCCTCGGAGGCCTGTTAAGGGCAATGGCCTCTATCCTGAGAAGCAGGGACTCCTCACACAGTTTCAAACATATGTCAGGAGCAGCGCAATCACATCCTCCTCTTGGGACAGATAGAGGGGGAGAGTGAGCAGAAGTGGGCAAGTCGAGACCACGAGAGGTCTTGGCGAAGGATGACGGCGGCGAGACAAGGGAGAAGTGAGCACACCAAGGATGGTCAGGCAGTACACGCAGACGAGTTTGGGGATGGCTGTGGACGTGGGGGGGGGGGGGGGAGTGAGGCATCAGGCTGGTTTCTGTCAGGCAGCGGGATGAGATGGGGGTCCTGGAGCCCCCTGAGCTGGTGAGGCTAAAGAGGAAAGCTCAGGAGTCCAGTCCACTGAGAGCTGGAGGGGCCTCCGAAGCATTCACGAGGAGCTGACAAGCAGGTGCTCAAGGCGGGGTCCTGGGCTACCAGGTGGGCATGTGGGGGAAGTCATCAGAGTCCAGACTGGCCGGGACAAGGGGACAGCGAGGGAGACAGGACCCGGGGCAGGGACTGAGCGAGCCTGCTCTCTGCCCAGGTTCAGGAGGACATGTGTGCCCAGAAGAGTTGGAGCGGGAACCCAGGAGGGTGCCCGGGGATGGCGGGTATCAAGGAGGGTGGAGAGGGGGGCCAGCGGTGGCTGCCTGGCAGGGCATGGGGCAGGCAGGGGGAGCAGGGTCAGGACACGCGGCCTCCCAGACTGCAGGGAAGGGGTGGGGGCGGCCGTCGGCCCTGGCCATAGCTAATGCAGGAGTCTCTGGTCTCCTTCCAGTTCTTCGCCTTCATCACTGCCCTGCTCTACATCCTCCATGCCTTCAGCATCTACTACCACTGAAGAGGCGGGGAGCCGGGCCGCGGGGAGAAGCGCCCCAGCAACACCTGGATGATGGGCTCCGGAAAGTCGCTCTCAACATTCACCATGTGGATGACAAACAGAAGATCAGCAAGAACATCAACAGGCTGGACAGACCAGCTTCTCAGACTGAGTGATGAAATCGCACTCTGGCATCTCTGTTTGGACATTTTTAATTCATTACGGCGAATATGAAAAAGCTTGGGGGCGGGTGTTATTTTGCTTGTTTGTTTGGTTGGTTTGGTTTTTGCCTGGGAAAGTAACTGTCCCTTCCGACAGGGCACCTCACTCTTCTGGAAAACCGATATCCAAAGTCCTCACAGGTGAGAATACCAGCTCTGCCACTGTCACACCTGTTTGGGGATTCTGCCTCAGGAGTCAGGTTCCCCCAGAGCAGGTTTAAGGGGACACTCATTCTTGTTCTGTTAAAATCGAAATGGTGCTGTCGATGCCTTCAGATCTGAAGAAGACCCACAGACCTTGTTCCTGAGGCATGGTTCTGCCTTTGCTTTGAGCAGGGGTCCAAATCCTCTCTCCCCTCCCCTGGGGGAGCTGACAGGGACGAGCCACACTGTCCCGCCCATCCCACTGCCCCCTTCCCTTTCCTCCCCAGTTTTGGGATCCAAGGAAAATCTTCATAAAAGCAACTTTGAGGGTAGATTTGTGGGGAAAATAAGTGACTGACTCTACAAAATTGTTATGCAGTAAGAACTTGGGGGGGGGGCGCTGCCTGCTTCTCCCCAAGTCGGGCCTGACAGAAAACCGCAAGGCTGCAGGATGCTTGTGCCAGGCCTCCAGAAACCTGCTTCCTAAGGACTAGAAGCCACCTTTTCCCTCAGAAAAGACCATCAAGGGAATGAGGCAGGACGTTCCAGGCAAGGATTCTTCTGTGGGCTTCTGTCCCACGACGTGGGACATCTCAGGAAGCCAGAAAGGACCCCCGTCCCAGGGTCCGTGCTCTTCCACATGCACCCACACCCCCTGCGTCCCCCTGAGTGGCGCCAGCTGTGTGGGGCCTCATGGGGGGAAGGGCTCGCACACCCCGACATGCAAAGGCGTCCGTGATTTAGGGCCATTCTCAAAGGAAAGGGCGGCGTTATGCACACAGAAACATATAATCGAGGTGCTTGATTTCAATTTTAGTATATGTGCTGCCGAAGCGAGCATGAGGTGCTTGATTTCAAAGTAAATATTTTTCAAAAGGAAGCTGCGCTCTCCGGCCTGTCTTCATCTGTGCAGGGGTTCCAGCCCAGTCTTCCGTCTGAGCACCGGGCCTCCCGCCCCGGGTGAGCAGGGCACGGCCCCACGGCTGCACATGTCTGCTCTGGTTTTGAAATGGGATGAATTATTACGGAAAGGGACTAGTCTTAGCTGATTCTGGGCTTATAGTTTGTTACCAATTTTTTTTTTTTTTTGCTGCTCCTTGGGGGTGGGGGGCGGGTACAGGGAGCCACCAACAAGAAAATTCTGGCTTATTCTTGTTGACCACTCACTTCCTGACCACCGTGTTATCTTGAAAAGCCACCATTTATCCCTCATTTTATTGCCTGGGATGATTACTGTTCAATATTTACCGAGTAGCCACATCCAAATAAAAGTTGTGTGTACAGTAAGAAGTATTAAGTTGGTCACTTTCGTGACGTTAGTGGCTAGAACTGGCCACCATTCCACGAATCCTGAGAGCAGTTTCACCAAAACACCCAGGGGAGGGTTTGAGGGCCCAGCTCCTCGGGCAGCAGCAAGGGAGGTTGCGTTTGTCTCCAGGGCTTGGGGCCTGTGTCATTTCCACTTCAGTAAGGACGGTTTGAGTGCAAGTTCCAGAAACCAAACTCCCAGCTTAGGCAAAGCTGGGGGTGTGCTAGCTGGGCCTGGGAGGTGAAGAGGCCCCCATAGACACAGAGGACCCCGGCCCTCTGTGTCATTCCTACTCTTCTTGACAGAGTCCTGTCCTTCTCTCTTGCCACAATGCAAGGCGCCCCATCCATGACCCACAGTGGACCAGGCCCTGAGCCCCGGCTCCCCCAAGTTCACAGCAGTGGCCATACTGCCCAGCCTGCCCCTCATCACTGGGTATCACAGGACCTGGGTCCCCAGAGCCAGGCACCGCCCTCAGGAACACTCGGCCATTCCTCCAGCCATGGATCAAGTTTTGTCCCTCCCTGTCCCCATGGTGGCCCTGTGTCAGGACGATGGCTGTGGCCAGCTCGGTCCCGCTGTTGCCTCCATGCTCGTGCTGGACATTATGTTCCATCCTCCTGGGAACACGAAGGCCCTGTCCCTCTTGTCCACATGAAAAGCCGTTTTTAATCTTGCAGGAGATCTTTCTTGTCCCCTGCCTTCTTGGGTTGCCTCTGCACCAGGGCTGTGTGCCCCATGTGCTGTGGGGTCTCCCTTGACTAGACTATGAGATCTTCAAGGGCAGAGGTTTCGCTCTTGGATATTTTACCATCATTGCTCTTCCCTACCCTCCCTGGCCGGCCCCCACCAGTCTCAGCTCTGCCCCAGCACGGTTGACCAGGAAGAGGACTTGCAAAGGCCATAGCCAGTCTGCAGGGACTGAAGGCAGAGCTGGCTCCTGAGCCCTCCCTGTCTTCACCTCCAACCCACAGTCTGACATCTTGAGCAGAAAAAGCTCTTCTCTGCTCAGTCCTTTACTTCCAGCCTCCTATGGGGCAGTTTAGCTCCTTCCATCCTAGAACCCTAGAACCGCATCCACAGTGAGGAAGAGCCCAGTCACCACCACCAGGGCCAGGCCAGCTCTGGCAGCCTGTGGGGGCCCGCGCCAGGCAGCGCCATGTCTGATGGGAGTTACCCAGTTTGGCTGCCTTGCTGGTTCTGAGTCCAGCACATAGTAGGGCTAATGAAAAGGTATTAAGGACCCTCTATCGGAGAAGCCCTTCTGAGGCAGCTACTCAAACCTGGCCTCCAAAACTGCCTGAGCAAACTTGGGAGGCACGAGGATTGGGGGCCAGGAGGGGCAGCTGTGGCCTTGAGTGTGACGGGGCAGGGTCCTCTGTATTCTCCATGTGGAGGACACCAGCAGTGGGGGGCAGCAACTCTGTGTGGGCTGCCTCCTTCCTCATGCCCTTGTTTCCTTACGTGGGCACCCACTCTTACCTCCGGGAAGAAGGAGATGCAGTGGACGGTTGTCTCAAGGTCAGCTCCACCAAGCTACCTGCCCGGGACCCTGAATTGGGAGATGGTGGACGGCGGGGAGGAGAGTCCAGAGGACGGGGCTTCTGCATCTTTCTGTGAACTCAGGCAAGGCATGCCGCTGCTCCCGAACATGTCCTCTGCATAAGCTGGGATGCTGGGTATCCCCACACCATAATGTCTAGGTGCAGCGCGGCAAGATGGAGAGAGATCAGCGCGAGGTCACGCCAACGGGAAGTTAGTTCCAGGTCCAGCTCGCTTAAGCTGTAATCATACCAGCGCGTCGGAATGTCAAGGCGCACGGAGGGGAAGGTGCGGCTGTGCACCCGGACGAGCTGCGTCAGCAGGTTTGGGAGGCCGAGAAGCGTAATCATTACGGACTTGTTTAATCGAAACTGACAGGAACCCGTGAGACGCCCCTGAGGTCACGTCCCTTCCTTCCGCAATGATAGCAAACCACCTCACCGTCATGAAGATGATGGAACTATTTCTCCTTCCAGAGTTAAGACTCCTATCATTCGTGATCGGGTGGAGCCCGATGGAGGTGGGAAACAGGTTGAAAGAGCCCAATGCGGTTACCCAGCTGCGCCACTGGGTGGCGTGGGGACTCCACTCGAATACCGGGAGAGGGCCGGTGACAGCAGGTGGTCGGGCAGAAGTGGCTCGGCCCAGCCGGGGTCTTTGGGGATCTCACCAGGGAAGGCTTCTCCTGCACAGGGAGTGACACAGAGGGGCCTCCTGCCTTCAGAGCTTTGCCCACTGCCTCACACATGGGGAAACTGAGGCCCAGAGACAGACTGTGCCTTTGTAGTTTATTGAATCAGAGCTGAAGGAAAGGGAATGGGTGTGGCAGAGACCCCCTCTGTCCCTCACTGTCACTGTGGCTGGGTGATGGCTGGGCCCAAGCCGTGAGAGAAGGTCTCCTCTGCCCGGATGGAGGAAAGAGGGGCTCTGTCTGATGCCCTTCCTAGCCATCACCAACCCCTCCACCCCTTTTGCTCTGTTATGTTCACCAAATGCCCAGAGTCTTCTGGGTCCCTTGGTGGCGAGCCTGCACCAGAGAGGGACACATGCTGGGCAGGAGCTGAGCTACCATGGCAGCTCCCGGGGGCAGCTAAGGGGATGGGGGATGTCATGTCACAGGGTTACAGGAGAAGAATTGCAATGTCATCACATGGTTAAAAACCATCATGTTCCTTTAATTAGCTTCTGTCTATCTGGTACATGCCTAGGTTTCCAGAAGCTGCCGGTAGTATCCCTGGCCTGACCCAGCTTCCCAGCCTCCACCCTGCAGTGTTCCTGACACGCTTATGGAGGTGGTTCAGGGCCTGGACCCTGCAATTTGGCCCTACCCGTAGCTGAAATTCTGCAGCTGAATCCAAGGAGGGGCCACCCCAGCATGCATCAGCACCCACAGTCTTGGGCACGTGCCTTCTCTCTGCACGTGCCTCTCTGCTCTTAAGAACCTAGGGTGGGGTGTGGCAGGGGCTGGAGGGCTCACGGCCTACAGCGACAAGGCAGTGCCTCCAACTGGAAGTAGAGGGGAGGAATTTACAAGGGGTCTCCTAGAAAATGGGACCTCAAGGAAGTTACCAGAATGATCAGTGGTCTGCCACATACCCTTCCCTGGCCTAGAGCCACCAGGCTGGAGTTTTAAAGGATAAGATGCGGCCAAGTGGGGAGGGCAATTAGGATAGGGAACAGTGTAAGGAAGGGTCCTGAAGCTCAGAGCAGCCCTGCTTCAGGAGCCAACAGCAGCCAGGGTTGTGTGAGAAATGGTCTAGTCATACCTCCCATGGGTTCCAGAAGAGGGCCAGATAAAGCAGGGTGTGAATGGCCCTAGCTCTGGGGGGAGCTTTGTCTGTAAAGCAGTGGGCTTCCTCCAGGAAGCAGCTGGCTCCCCTCAGGCTTCCAGTGCAGTCACAGTTCCTAACAGACCTGTGTTCTCGGTGCGGAATTAGGCCAGAGTATTCTACAGCCCCGGGTCAAAATACTTGTGTGGCTGAAACCAGCCAGACTCCTGGGATCTTTGGTGCAGTTTGAATGAAACACTTGCCTTTTATTTCACAAGTAGAGGTGAAATGGTGTTCTAGAAATAAATTCACACTAAGGTGTAAATGGCTACTACAGGCCATTCCTTATTTTGCAAATGTTTATTGAGAAGCAGTTGGCCCAGCAGTCAGAGGCTTCAACCTGGGCCGTTCACTCTCCTGGCCCCTCTGCTGTGGGAATGAAGTAAGGTGGCCTGGGTCAGCGGCCTGACACATAGTACACCTTCCTTACATCGTACTTCCCAATCTTTTGCCATCATGGAACACACAGAAAATAATACAATTTATTGCACATTGGGACAAACTGGGAAAACCACATGGGAGTTAGTGAAAACATTCATTACATTATCTTTATATGTACATTTAATTATAATAAAAATAATTCAAAAGTATTAGGGGAGATATTAAGTGTGGAATTGGTATGAAACATCAAAATAGAGTCTTTTCAAAAGAACTCATGCTGGCATTTAGGTACATACTTTTTGGTGTAAGTTTGTTTGCTTGAACGGGCTACAATCAATTCCTGATCCGGACTTTTAGATGATTCCTCAGCTGAGTGAATGGAATTGTCCCCGAGGTCTGCAGGTGACTACCCTTCCCAGCGGGCACCCAAATGCCCATCTCGGAAGGACTGCACATGAGTTCAGAAATATTTAGTTATTAGGGTCTGGGTGTCAAGAAGGACTCTCATCTCTGGAATTTTATGCAAGTAATGTATTCGAGATTTGGGACCCTCAGACTTGTGTGTAACTGCATACCTGCTTTAAACCTGCGGCTTTAGGCAGAAATCTAAGTTGGAACATTTAAGAGAATGTAAAACGCATCATCATATTTCAGATTCAATATTTGAAATTAAAAGTCTCAAAATGACTTTATGAGACCACTGAAGTACTTAAGAAGAAAAACACGTATATTAAACTTATCAAAACAGTTTAAAATACTGGAAGGTATTAACTATGTTTCCTTAACTAGGTTTTCAACTGAAGCTGAACGTGGATCGAAGGCCCATGAAAAGTGATTGCTGGCTGGGGCGCCTGGGGGCTCAGTCGTTAAGCGTCTGCCTTTGGCTCAGGTCGTGATCCCAGGGTCCTGGGATCGAGCCCCACATCGGGCTCCCTGCTCCGTGGGAAGCCTGCTTCTCCCTCTCCCACTCCCCCTGCTTGTGTTTCCTCTCTCGCTGTGTCTCTCTCTGTCAAATAAATAAATAAAAATCTTTAAAAAAAAACAAAGTGATTGCTGGCTGTACACTAACACCAATAACCCAAAAATAAAATTAAGAAAACAATTCCATGTACAATAGTATCAAAAAGAATAAAATACTGGGCGCCTGGGTGGCTCATTCGTTAAGCGTCTGCCTTCCGCTCAGGTCATGATCCCAGGGTCCTGGGATCGAGCCTCGCATCAGACTCCCTGCT